TTATTTGACTGATTTGAGAAAACGCCAACGTTGAAACTATATTACTTCAGCTTTTTGAAGAAGAAAGAATTTTCTTTAAGAAGTTGATGTGCTCTTGCTTCTTTCCAGTTGGCGGAGAAGATAAATCTTATGTAACATCAGGCCAGAAAGCAGATTGTTTTTTCAGTAGTTCCAAACAGATAGTGTATCTTTAATGAAAACATGTTGAGTATTTACTAAGCCTATCCCTATGATATTTCCTAAACAAAGGAACTGGACTGATGGGGTTTTGATTTTTAATGTATTTTAATATGCATTTAATATGTATTTTAACATGTTTCTTACTTGGATTGAGATTGTGTATCTTAATTGTTGTGACCCGCCCTGAGTCCTATGGAGATAGGGCAGCATACAAATGTAATTAAAATAAAAAAAGTTAAAAAAAACCTTCCAAATCAAGGCATCTAGAGCAGTGGTTCTCAACCTGTGGGTCACGACCCCTTTGGGGGTCAAACAACCCTTTCACAGGGGTCACCTAAGACCATCGGTAAACACATATTTTCAATGGTTTTAGGAATAATTTTACGGTTGGGGGTCACCATAACATGAGGAACTGTATTAAAGGTCACGGCATTAGGAAGGTTGAGAACCACTGATCTAGAGTAAAGTGACTGGCATTGGGGTGCCCAATCTACTGAAGCTTTGAGAGACATACAGATATTCAGTTAATAATTGTAGTGAGTTGGTGTAAAATACAATGAATCATATTCTGTTGTATCAGACTGATTTAGTCATAGTTATCCTTAAGAGTTTTATGTTGACTTAGGGAAACTGATGAAATAATAGAACAGTCCATGGATTAACTTGTTTCTAGCATTCAGTTGATTAAAAAGGGGTTGTTGATTGTACCAGAAAGACCTGAGATGACACTAGTTTGATATGCTGAACGAACTGATGAATTGCTTTAGGCGCAACTGAATTCCAGTAATAGTTGGCTTTATATTCAGATGTTTTACAAAATCTATCAAGTCAATCCTGATAGGAAGATGTTGAAGGTCCAATAAGAGAAAAAGGCCGTATTATTTCATATTTGGTTCACTATGTTCACCAATAAAAAGTCTTCTTCAAATCATATTTGCAATCTGGTGATTTCATGGACACATGCTTCATTGACATAACCTTCATTACAACAGTATAGAAGTTGTTATAGTTCGACAGATAGCTTGTCTAACATTCCTTTTGAGATGAAAAGCATAAAAGTCAATTCTTTAAATCAGCTCATAACAATGTAAATAATTAGCCTGAAAAGCCATGGTAGAGTTAAACCCAGAAAGCACCTGACAAAGAAAATAGATGAGTAAATTCAGCACAACAGCTTTCTTATCATGGGATTCAAATGATAGGTTTTTCTCTCTTGTGCATTATATCAAAAATGTAGAAGACTTTGTCCATCAGGTATCATCAGGGGATGAATTCCATTTGATCAGAATGGGTGTACTGGGTGTTGATCTCCAATCTATCGGTTAAGACAGTTGTAAAGTTCTTCAGATCCTAATTAATGAAGGACATTGAGCAATAAGAGGCAATCATAGCCTTTCTCTGTTTTATCTATCAGTTGTTTTCTATTACACATGAACAGTATCTAATTACCGGTAGTCAAATATAATGCAAAATGCTTCAATGTTTTTCTATAAGAATTATAAACAAACATGCCTTTTTGCTCTGCTTGTTGCTTTGCAAATGATAATTGTCTGGCTCCAACAAATTCACTATTAAATTGGGTTTGTAAGGCATCCCTTCTTTATTATCTATAAGCATTTCATACTGGCCATGAAGTACACCATGGAAAAGAGAACAAAACAGAAGACCAAGAACCTGGGAAGAGCTAACATCAAGGCTGACACATGAAGAGCTTAAGTTGCGATTCCAAGAAAAACTGTCTCATTTCCATATTTGTCAACTTAAGTAAGCTGCTTTCAGAATGTTATATTACTTATATTTCAAAAGGAGGTTCCATCATGCATGGCTGGAATTGAAACAACAATCACATATATAGCAATCATTGGTACAGTCCTTAACGATTTATTTCTCTGTCTTGCTGTACATGTAATATCAGGAAAAATACCTTCTGTGCATGTTAAAAAACAAAATATATTTTACCAATACAAACCAATTAGTAAGGACAATTCTTCCTATGTGTCCACACCTATCTATATTGATATCAACATAAATATATCATTACCGGTAGTTATTGTCACTGAAGATAATTAAAATATCACTCTTCTCAACAACAGAGCAGTGGGACATCACTTGAGATTATGCAAAGAAAGATCATCTACCTCCTCAGCCTCAGAATCCTTAATAATCTATCAAATCCTTGTATTCCTCTCTTTTTTCTCTTCCTGTAAAATGTAGGGTAGGGGGCAAGGGCTATCTGAGGCATTCTCATATACTATTTTTTGGCCGGGATTCAAGCTTCATTTATCTGATCATTGTCTTGCTAACAGATCTTCCCTTTTCTTTTCAAGGCCATCTTTTGTACTCACTACAAACTATCATGCCCTGTGAGCAGCCTTCCAGTTTGCATATGCCACCTTGCAGTCTTATCTTCACAATAATACATAATACCCGGTGGCCACTTTCAAGGGGATTCTGAGATTTATAGCTCTGACATATCAAGAATTTGGAAAGAGCTAAACCACGTGATAATTCCACAACCTGTGAAAGTAGGAACTAAAAAAAACCACATGCATCATCCTGATATCAAGATTGTCATTCTTTACTTCTCTGCCTTTCTTACCTTTACAACAGTCTCCAATTGATCGCATTTTTCTATATTACATGTCAGATTTGCCAACATCATTGCTCCAATTTTGTACGTTAGTTAGAAGCCTTTAGTTATAAATTTTAATTATTCATAAAAGAAACAAAAATAATTTTCCACACGAAGAAGCAATACTGAAGTTATTTTTTAATAAAAAATACAAGTAAACATAAGGCTTTAAAATACCAGATCTTGCTTGATTTGTGATAATAAGGGCAGAGTTGTCCAGAAAAGATAGAAGCTCCTACAAAATGTTTTGATTGTTAAATCTTATTGTTTATTGGCTGCCTTTGCTAATTATTAAGTATTGATTTGATTTTAATAGTGGTTTTAAAATGCTACATTGATAAAAGATTATTGTTATATGCAGTATTATCTAACATTGCTTTGATTTTTTTTTCAGTTTTATATAATTTTAAAATCTCTTTGCAACTTCTTTTTCTCCCTCTTTTTTTTTTTGGTTATGCTTTCAAAATAAAAACAAAACAAAATATTATTTTAAATATACAAATAAACAAAGATAATCTACGAAACAGCCCTAAAACATGAATGTCCATCCAGAAATTAATAACTCATAAATCACTGAAGATAGACCTTTGTGGATTTTTTCTGGTATAATTATATTTCAAAGATTCAAAGGTGTGGATTGGGGGCAGGGAATGATTCAGCTCTAGTTGTAATTCAAAGGCAAATGGATTCAAAGTTACACAATGTTATTTGTCAGCAGAGACAGTATTTGTCAGTAGAAACAGGCTGACACTAGAAAACATCAGGCTTTGAGAGAAATGCAGGCCATTATCTGGCATAGATAAAACAGATTATTTTAAGAGCAGCAAACATTTGGGACAGTGCTTATGTTAGCCTTGCACCCATTTATTCCTTAGTGGATGAGTTAAACCTGCCCCACTCATGAAGAATTTAAAAATAAAAGTTGACCCAGGAAAGTATAGTGGGTTGGATAACCATGAGACCATATTAAAGTGCTCAGAGTTATGGTGCACTGTAACATCAGATATGTTACATTCAGTGGTGGGATTCAAATAATTTAACAACCGGTTCTCTGCCCTAATGATCGGCTGGGTGGGCATGGCCATGGTGGGCATGGCCGGCAGGCGTGACAGGCAGCCCTCGGTCTCCTGCACCCCCCCTGGGAGAAAAAAATGGGCTGGGGGGGCACTGCCCCCCTGTGCACCATTTTGGGCCTAGTAGGCCTTCCCACAGCCTCCTGAGAGCAAAAATGGGCCTTGGGGGGGTGCTGCACCCTCCCATGACCCGTTTTGGGCCTAGTAGGCCTCCCTGAACCCCCCTGGGAGCCAAAATGGAGATTTCTGGAAGGGGCAGGAAGGGGAGGGGCCAGCCAGCAATTTAACAACCGGTTCAACCAAAGTGGTACGAACTGGTTGAATTCCACCACTGGTTACATTCCATAACCAGCACGATAAAGAGCAGAGTTAAGGCTTGCGGTTGGCCATATTACAGAAACTAGCAGTTGAAAAGTAAATGAAACTCAAATCAAGGTTAGCTTTATCATCCCAAAAGAGTTCTGGTTGGCAGGCAATTGAATGAAATCATACATGAGATGCTGGTTATTCATGTCAAGGTCAGAGAGTCTGTTTCACATCATTTCTGCCCATTTCCAATAGTCTCAATATATGGAAGTGAAATTGCAACAATGTACTGTCTGTAACACTCCCAGCAGCAGAAAAGCCTCTGAATTTGCAAATCAAATCAAAGTACTGCATATTTATTAAATTTATTACATCAAAGTGGGTCCTTGCTTCACCTTGCAAATCTGCTTTGATAGGGTGATTTGAGCAATTTTGTTGTCAAATCAAACAATCCTTTCAGAGTTTTATCTTGCCATAATGGTATCTAAAACAAACTAAAGGCATTTTGATACTAACCCTAACCTTAAAATGGCTTCAATTACTTTGCAACAGAAATATCAAAATCATCTTATCCAGAAAGCTCATCTAACAAATACCGCTTTTTCCTATGTTTTACTTCATTCATAATGATCAAATGTGCTTATAAATAGCACGATACCATGTATGGTTTCTACACAGAATTTCTCCACAAAGGTGAAAAGTTCATCTTCATTTTTTATAATGGTAGAGAAAGAGGTTTTTTTAAAGCAGTCATATAGAATTTTTTTAAAAAAAAACACATTATTTTACAGGAAGGAAGGAAGGTTTACCTTTCTGACTGGACTCAATATACTCTCTGGAGATTGCATGTTGACAGTGGCTTCATCTCCTGGCTGAGACATAGATGGAATCACATTTCTGTCAAGAGGAAGTGCTGGTTTTTGACCTTCTGATTCAGCAGAATCTTCACCAATCTTTCATAAAGAAATAGTACATAGATATAATAGTTTATTCAGTCAATGTCCAGCAAAATAAACGAATAATAAGCACATGGCAACAAGATCACTTACAGTATATAAATAAGATCATTTATATTATCCAAACAAATGGATACTTTTCAGGCTTCATATATATGTATATTCTGTGTTAACCTGCCTGCATTTGGCTGCCTAGATACTATCAATTTAGATGTTGGTATCCATTTTGAGGTTCTTAAATGTCCTTACCCCAGTATTTCAGTGAACACGTCACTTCTCAAATGAACTTCATAATTCTTTCAAAATTTCTCACATATAGGAAACATTTATGAGGTTACGGAAACCTGGGAGACCACCAGTTGCTGGGAATCAGCAGAGTGGTAAAAATAGTCCCCAGATCCTATTTTTCTCACTCATTTAGTTTGAATTTTTGTTCTTGCTACTTTTGTTTGTTCAACTTTATTATTTAAAAAGAATATTATTTGAATTAAAACATGGTAAATCATATTGATTGCCTTTCAGCTGAAAATATATTAATAACTTTTATAAATAAAACATTGTACTATCTTAAAATAATATTTCATTATTATTCACCTGTGAAACAGCATTTTCATTCCACTGGTATTTTAAACTTATAATGTTATCTATTATGAAGAGGAAAATGTTTATTTTACGGAATATTCTCACATCATTTCCCCAGGTAATGAATCTGAGCATATATTTTCCTCAAAACTATTATTTGGTGGTATTTGACCCCAATAAGACTTTTTCAAATGGATAATAAGGTGGATAAAATGTGTTGGAGATATAAAGTGGAACTCGGGACATATGCTCATATGTGGTGTAAACGTAATGGGGTTGAACTTTTTTGGTCTAGGATAGAAAATGAAATATTTGAAATAATTAAGAAGAGGGTCAAATTGAAATTGGAAACCATATTATTATTAATATTGAATGAAACAACATTAACAACTGGAGAAAGAGAATTGGTGAGGATTTTGCTTATAATGGGGAGAATTATAATTGCTAGATACTGGAAATTAAATGTTGACTTAAAATTAGAAGAATGGTACAATGAAAGATGGAAATTTGCATTAAATGATAAATTGACTTGTGATATATAAAGAAAATGTTTTTTGGAACACTTGGCAACCATTTGTGGACTTTGCACTTGGGAGATTGGATGAATCGGCACCAGTACCTTATCAAAGAGATTTCTGGAAGAATTGAAGACTTCAATTTCCTAAAACTTCCTTTCCGTTTGTATAGCACGTTGGGGGGAAAAAAAATTCTTTCCTTACTATTGATTTTTTGTATTGATTTTTTTTCTTTCTGTTATTCTTTAACAATAAAAATATAATAAATTTTTTTTTAAAAAAACTATTATTTGGCCCTGGGAAAAATACCAGATTTCCTCCCAGAAAAGGACTAATGTCTTGGGAAGATGAGTTTTATCCTGATTTTTTTATCTAAAAAAAGAAAAGGTAAAGATTTCTCCTACCAAACATGTCCAACTCTAGGGGGAGTGCAACAGAAATGCATTTTTAATATGTGCCCAAAGTAAAAAATGACAATAAAGGTTATTTATCTATCTATCTAAGAGTCAGAATTGTCCAAAAACCTATGTGGTCATGTGGCTGGCATGACCATATGCCGAAGCCGCATCGAACGCTGTTACCTAGAAAGGATAGCTATTTATCTACTTGCATTTGCTTGCTTTTGAACTGCTAGGTGGGCAAGAGTTGGGGCAGGAATGGGAGCTCACTCCGTCACACGCTACTTAGATCTCGAACTACCAACTTCCGATTGACAAGCCCAGCGTCTTAACAGGTCAGCCCTCTTACAGCATGGAAATATATAGAGAAAATTTACTTCTAATGATAGACTAGGCACTTGTCAGTGGATTCTATTTAAACAATGTTTGGTATAACTTTAATGCTAGTTGACCCTTGGAGTGACATGTCCAGCCTCATTCTTTTCTTGACCTGTCAGACACCATGTTCTGCCCCACCATGCACTAACTGTTGATTTGTTAAGTATTCTTCTTTAGGGTTTGTACTGGTCTAAGAGCCTGGCAAATCTAGTCATCCTAAATCACATCAAGGCACAGTTTAATGGGGTTCTGAGTAACATGACAATATTAATCCACCATCCTTTCCTTGATGTTATTCTTGATTTGCACCCCATCTTTCTGATCTGGTGAGCATGCTCTGTTCTGAGGAGGCCCAAAACATTTAAAAACAAAAACAAACATTAAAACATTAAAAAAACAGCTTAAATAAATATTACAATTATCTAACAACTCTTCACCTAAAGAAAGAGAAACATCTTTGCAGATTTCCCTAAAAAGATGAGTGAACGGGAGCCAAACGCAATCCATAAGAAACTGTTCTGTAAATTTATTTTTTCACATAAATTTCAATGGAAAGCTGAATATTTCAAGCCTAGCTTAAAGATCAGTTACCTGATAAACATATCTACTTGGATTTATTTAAAATAAGATTAAGAGTTACCCTGTGGGAAGATGGATGACCAATAAATTTTACAAATAAAGAAATAAATAAGGTCAAATTAGCAGTTATTTCTTAATCTGGGCTAATTGTCTTTTAGTCAATCCTTCCCCAGCTCTGTTTAAGATTGAATATTCATTAACATTAGAAGAAGAAAATAAATCTAGTCAGCTCACTTGCTGCACTTCTTCTTGGTTTTGCTGCTGAACTGTGCTTGGCTGCCTGACAATGTAGTTTATTTGGCCAACAATGGTTTGCTGAACATGCTGAGGCTGCTTGGCCTGATTGAGCTGCAGGCTTGGTTGCTGAGCCTGAAGGAGAAGCTCCAAATCTTTCTTCATTTCCTCCAGTTCAAACTGGTGGTGCATGATGTCCAAGCTCTGTTGTATCACTTGTTCGTGAGACTTCTCATTTGGGCCTGCGGCAGGCGACTGTTGAGGTGAGAGTGGTGGTGGGGGTGGCAATGGATGTTCCTGTTGTGGTGGCGGTGGCTGTGGTTGTGGCGGTGGCTGCTGTTGCTGCAAATTATTCAGCTTTAGCTTCTGGAGGGGACTGACTTGAACCTGCACTGTTGGACTGTGAAGAGAAGACTGTGCAGGGATTTGCTGGGAGTGACTACCTTTGCTTTGGTGGCCATCCTGTGACGAAAGGGGATAAATAGGTGGAAGGGCGTGGTGCATTGGCTGCTCTTGGGAGTTCTTGCTCAACCTGGTAGTTAGGCTATCAGGCTCTTGATGAGATTTCTGCTCAGCACATGGCTGCATGCTTTTCAGCACTCGCGGGGCACACCTCTGCTCCCTCTCATGTTGCTGCAAGCTGTACTGCACAGGGAAATGTTGTGGGTGGTGTTGCTGCATTTCAGAAGGCTGGCGGAAAGGCTGAGGATGGCTCACAGTTTGATGAGAAAGCTGCCCTTTGTTCATATGTGGGATATTAAGGCAATGGGCACAGCACATGGGTGCCAGGCAATGGACAGGAGGCTGAAATTGGTGGGGCTGGTTATTGAGTGGGTCATGTTGTGGCACTGGAGAATGATGGCCATGATGGTGATACAGAGATGGCTGCATTCCTTGTATACTTGCATAGGTTGGTACATCTGAATGGTGGCTTGGCCCCCCTTCCATTGACAAGTGGCCTAAAAAGAACAAACCAGAAATAATGGAGGACAGTATTAATATTGAGTATTAATCCCCATATTAAGACTCTTTATCCAGAATAGGATGTCTATGGAGATTCTCAGTCATCCAGGTCATGGTTGTCCCAAAGGTGCTTTTTTGAGAGGTGATTGGACTTTCTGGTTTTTCTTTGAAGACATTTCGCTTCTCATCCAAAAAGCTTCTTCAGCTCTAACAGCAGTTGGAAAAGCTTCTTGGATGAGAAGCAAAATGTCTTCAAAGAAAAAACAAGAGTGTCCAGTTGCCTCTTGAAAAAGTATCTTTGGGACATCCAGAACAGGACAATTTCATGTTCAGTAGGTGTAGCGAAGATACCCATCTAAAAGCTTTCCATCCTAGAATTCTGCTGACCTTACACAATAAGTATAAGAGCATCAGGAAAGCAGCACTGATCAACTAAACTCTGAAAGACAGATCTACTCTAAAAACATAGTACTGAGTGAAAATAATGGTTTGATCCAATCTATCAGTTCGTATTTTTTAATAAGTAAGTATGAGACTAATATATGACTAAAATTGTTGATATTTTACCAAAATGCTAAGCATCAGGAATCAAAAAAGGATACCGTAAAACACATGTCTAAAATGTGCCCTTTTCTAATTGCGGTCATTGTTGATTGTCTACCCAAAAAAACACTAGACTGAGCTAATGTACATTGAAGGAGGGCACTACAATATAGTAATCAATAGAATACCAATCCATGGAACTCCTTAATAATCAAAATAATAATGTGGTCGTCCCAGTACTTATCAGCACATTGGGTGCATCTGTGCATCAACAAAATGCCATCAAAACAGGATATCATATTCCCAGGTTCAGGAGCCTTTCAAAATCCTGAAGACACCAATTTTGGGAAAACTGTCGGCAATCCTGTTATACCATTTAGCCTGAAAATATAATATTTTACTTTCTCCATTTATCAGTTAAACAGGAGACTGGATCACTATGATAATCAGAGGTGTTTTATTTTCAATATGGCAACAAGAAAGAAAGTGCTAAAGAATTCTTTGGCTCTGCCAGTCATCTAAAACCTTCCAGTGACCCCAGAGAACTGCTGGAACAAAGCTCTTTTATTGGGAAATGCTCAGCCTGCAGTTTCTTACTATGGGCTCTCCTAGATTCTGATTGTGTTCTGTTCTGTCACATCTAAAACTTTTTTGGAACTATAAGAAACAATTCTGGGCTGGCTTCCTCATTCCCTAGGCCACAAAAGCATTAGAGAAAGGACAATATCACTTACTGTACATAGAGATAAAGAACCCCCCCCTCTCTCATTCTTTCTTTCTCTCTCTCACATACAAATACATACATTTTTTCAAAAAATTGTACAATTATACAATATACTTTTTACCTAAATTGGATAGTTGTTTAGTCCAGAAAGACGGGTCCCATGTGAATCTGATCTTCCAAGGACAACCCACATCTGCATTACAGTTGGTTTCTAGCAAACGCTGAATCTGAAAAACAATCTAGTAACAAACCAGAGAATTATAGTTTGATGCAATAAATATATAATTGGCTGCTTATACCTTAGGACTTGAAATGGGCACCTAGTCGTATATTGTTCCCATTCACTATGGGCTTGCTTACATATTTAAGTGGAGATTCCTAAGCTATTATGAACTGAAAAGAAAAAAATTAATAGAACTCTATTTACCATAAAATAAATTATCTTGCATTTAGACAATAGAGACTAACTCAGTTTTATCAGCATTAGGAATTTTGGAGGCAACAAAGGTTGGCCACCATAGTAATCAAATGAGGATAAAATCAACATGGCTCGCATGAAAAGCCATTCCAGAATAATGTTTATTATACAGGTAGTTCTCAACTTATGACCACAATTGAGCCCAAAATTTCTGTTGTTAAGTAAGACATTTGTTAAGTGAGTCTTGCCCCATTTTACAACTTTCTTGCCACAGTTGTTAAGTAAATCACTGCAGTTGTTTGGTTAGTAACCCGGTTGTGAAGTGAATCTGGCTTCCCCATTGACTTTGTCAGAAAGTCACAAAAGGGGATCACATGACCTTGGGACACAGCAACAGTCATAAATACGAACCAGTTGCCAAGCATCTGAATTTTGATCACATGATCATGGAGATGCTGCAAAGGTCATAACCTGCAAAGATGCTTTCAAAGGTGAAAAATGGTTATAAGTCACATTTCCAGTGCATTCATAACTTTGAATGGTCACTAAACGAACTGTCATAAGCGGAGGACTACGTGTATTTTTCTTAGAGACTTAATAACTATTTACTTCTGTTGACATGACTATTTTTATTTGCTTAAAATCCTTTAAACGTTTTATTCACAGGAACAAGGCACTTTTGATCTATCAGTACTACCTTCTTCTCATTGTCTACTTATTTTATTTTTCTCTTCATAATTTTTCACCGATCATTCAAGAAAAATCAACCTGAGTAATTCTTATAGCAAATCCTCTGTTCATTTAAAAGGTCAAACTATACTTTAGACAAGAAGCCCATCTAAAGTATCTTGGGATGAGCATTTACCCTTACCAGTTCTTTACTGAAGAGGAATGGAACGGTGCTTTTACTGCATACTGCCCAGCTAAGAAAGTTTTGCACGTGTTCAAACTGCCTATTTAACATCATGATTCCCTGAAGCTGTTGTTCCATTTTTTGCTTCCTTTCACTGGTGATCCGCTGTCAACAATCAGAAACAAAGAAGCAAACAGTCATTTTAAAATATAGTTCGCTTTGTAATAAATGACATTTATGTTCAAAATGAGATATAAAAATCCACAAATTAGATTGGGAGTAAAGAACCTTTGCTAAGTCAATAGGCACAAATAAAATGGTTCACGCCTACGCTCGACACTCTCAGAAAATGGCTGCCACACAAGAGTGATTTGTTCACATAACATTTAGGCATGGCCCCCAGTATGCACAGCTACTCACAAAGTATTCATTCCCAGAAAAATAAACTGTTTTTGTAACTCTCTATCATCTCAAGAATTTTATGACTGGAGCTTACTTTTGTCTCTTTTTCTGTGTAGATGAGCAAGCAACCAATACAACAGCCATTTTTTTGTTTTTATTTTTAAAGGTGGCCTGTAAGACTTGGGTGGGACCTGAAGCATTCTTGTAAATACAATTATCAAAAGAGGCTGATGTTTTGGTTTTAGCACACTGGCTAATTTATTTCTAATTTAAAAACTATTTGAAAATTAATTCAAGTTATAATTAAATACTAACGCTTTAACCAATAAAGAGTGGGAGAAGTTAGTTTTCATTTGTTCTCTTTTCCTTAGAACAGAAATTGCCTTCAGTATTAAGTTACTGCAGATCTAGGTTGACATTGTGAATCCCATTGATGGTACAGATCTAATAAATATCCAGCTGTTGTGGTGCCACAGCCACAAGGTGAGGTGGGGTGGTGGTGGAGCTGCCTTATGAGCCCCTCATCAGCTTACCTCAGGGCCCCTGCAACCAGGCCATCCATGCCCCAACAGCTGCCTCACAGCGGCATCACCAGCACCCATGTGCAGCAGGAGCCCACATAACCCATGGCCCACTTCTGTTCGCTTGCGGCCTCAATGGAGCAGGAGGCTGAGTGGTATGTCTTTATGCCACAGCCACTAAGCGAGGCAGCTCCACCCACCCCCGCCTCACCTCATGGCTGCAAAACTGGCATGTCGCTCTGCCTCCTGCTCCATTGTGGCTGCGAGCAAGCAGAAGTGGGCCAATGGCCACATGGGGTCCTGCTGGGCGGGGCCAGTGGAGCCACTGCTAAGAGGTGAGGCACATGTTGGAGCATGGGTGGCCTGGCTGCGGGGCCCTAAGGTAAGCTGGTGCGGTGTGCATGGGGCAGCTCCACCCCCCTGCATCACGGAGGCCTCCTGCCCCGCTGCAAGCAAGCAAGCAGAAGAAGAGAGCCTCCCTTATATGGAAAAAAAAATAAGACACCCCCAAAAATAAGTCCATAGTGTTTATTTTGGGGCGCAAAAGAAAATAAGACCCAGTCTTATTTTCAGGAAAACATGGATATAACTAGTGAATTTATCAACCAATCAGTGCTGCAGTAAATTGGCATCTCCTGCCTCCTTATCTTCTTAGCTTCAAGAACCATCCTATTTACCTCCAACTGTTCAAGGAGAACATTTGTCCGCTTATTTATTTCACTGATTAGGACCATTTTGGCCATTTTGATCTGATTTTCTATTTTCCGTTGCAAGTGTTTTGCTTCAAACAATCTGTAGAGAAAGATTAACAATTTCAATAATTATAATCATGTTTCAAAATGTTTGGAAGAAATCATATTTATGGAGGTTACAAATGTGATTATCTGGGTTATCTATGCAGATAATGTGTGCAGAATGAATTTGTATATGGATTTAGGGCCTGAATTTTTCAAGTTGCAGGATGCATTGATCTACCTAATATTTACTTTTTAGCATTTGTTCACGGATAACAATTTAAATGGTATACTTAATGGGCTTATCATTTTTTTCTCAAAAGTGGAGAATATTTTTCCAATATTAAGCACTACATTTTAAAATTTTATTTGCCAGGACTTTTGAACAACTATTAATTGTATAACATTCAATATTTACTTGTCACAAATAAGTGTTTCAATTTTATTTTAAGGGTATTTTGGTATCTATTTTCACATCTTGAAAAAAATCAACCTAATGTTCCACCACTTTTTTCTCTGGAGTGACATCACACAATATAACTTTATACCCATAGAACATGGCTTCATTCTTTTTATTAATATTTATGAATATAAAAATCTATTTTAACCTCCATAAATATTTCAGAAACTAAATAAATAAACAGGTTATTTAAATGATGCCATCATATAGGCTATATATGCCAACAATGTCCTAACCTGTACTAGGTTACTTACTGCCCAGTAAGTCACAGTCCATACCATAGTTACACCTCTGTAAACATAGAAAAATGTCACTAAAGAAATCAGATTAAAGAGGAAACCTTAAAAATGTGGAATGCTCAAGATTGATATGAGGATTCTCTCATAGTTGAGGATTATTAGTTAGTGCACCACAGCTATGGTGCTTTAAACAACAGCATGACTGTATGATGTCAATCCACAGTGAAAGACGCTATGAATTTGCATGAATGGAGAATTTACAGAGTTAAAAAGGCAGAGGTACCAAATCATTCTCTAGGTAGTCCCAGGAATTAATTCTTAAGATTACAAATCAATTTGTCAATGAAAAAAGTCATTACAGAATTCTTAAAAGAGGGATCTCCTCAGTTACCTGTCTTCAATATGTTTAGCTGAGACTTGCATTACATTTTTTTTCTCTTCTACTTTGCAGGTTATGTTTTCCAGGATAACCCTCTGATTTTGCAATGCTTCTTGAAGATGCCTGAATCTACAGAAAAAAAGAAAAGTCTTGAAAGTTTTACCTGGGTTCAAAAGGCCAATCAGACAGTTTCCCCAATAGCTTGCCAATCCCTCCTCCTAAATTCGATCCTTTTAAAATTCATTTCTATTCTCCCTTCCAATTCCAAAGGAATTAAACAGTGTATAAAAACAAAATGTATTTTTGACTCTAGTCCTGCTTACAATGAGCAGGGCCTCAAATGCATTCCCACTGGCCTTACAGCACTGATTTATAGTAGGACAAAGAAGCTTCCTTGGGGTGGCCAAAAATAGGAGCGGGCACGTGGCTGTTGAAAAACTGAAAGGAGGGAATTCCAGCAGGTATAGCTTGCTTGAAAAGTTACATCTGCTACAATTGCCTTTTCTGCATAAGTCTTAAAAGTGTTTCTTATTGTACCAAGCCACCTTTGGGTGAGTCAACATGGCAATTTTGATTTTTTACCTGTGATCCTTGTGCTCCGTCAGGAGGCAGCAGCGACAGGTAAGGACGTCACAAGTCTCACAAAACAGCTTAAGCCTCTCTTGGCTGTGAATTGGACAAAACAAGGGACATTCATTGGCTTCCCCTTCAACTCCTGAAAAAGAAAACATTGCTATAAAATAAGAACAGTTGCAATTGCCTACAATATCAGGCTCGGGTGACAAGCTGGTCAGTCAATTCCTGTCACAGCCCATTGATTGGCAGTCAGTTGAACTGAAAAAAGTGGACTCTGCATTTTCAGGAAAAATTCTAGGAAAGAAAATGCAGGTATAACATGATGAAGTTGATTTTTAGAGAAAGATTGATAAATGTATGATTACTAAACGGTCTTGTATAGTAAATTCTGAAAGTTAATAAAATTAATCTCAGGTTGTCAGGAGTCATGTATTTTTATATCCATTAAATTTCACGTTCATATGTAAATCATCTAAATCCTTCACATGCAAATATCATAAATTTATTATGCTCCACTATTTTAATTTAGAACTGAAAATCTTGTAGGGAAAAAAGAGCAGAATGTGACTTTTTGTACAGTGCCTTCAAAATACACTGTCCTTCCTCTGGAAGGAGCTAGGAAAAAAAAACAAAATTAGAGAAAGAATATGCATTTAGGTGAGTCCACAACATTTCAGAACCTTTTTCAGTTTCTCTTTGCTGATTGCCCTTTTCAGCAATTTTCAGGAAGGATATAGAAGTTCTAGACCGCAGCCTCTAACCTTTGGGGCACCAGGGACAGTTTCCATGGTGAGAGGTTTTTCTGTGGGGGTGGTTGAAGTGGTGAGATTTAAATTTTTTTACTACCTGTTCTGTGGGCATGGCTTGGTGAGCGTGGCATGGCTTGGTGGGCATGGCTTGATGGGCGTGGAAGGGGAAGGATATTGTAAAATCTCCATTCCCTCCCCAAACCAGGGGAAGGTTACTGCAAAATCCCCATTTCCTCCCAATCAGCTAGGACTCGGGAGGCAGAGAATAGTAGGAGGTGGGGCCAGTCAGAGATAGTATTTACCGGTTCTCCAAACTACTTAAAATTTCCGCTACCGGTTCTCCAGAACTGGTTAGAACCTGCTGAAACCCACCTCTGGGTGGTTGGAAGCTCACTGAATTCTGTTGAGAACTGCATCACATTAGCTAAGGCACTGTTTCTATACACACACAGGTCCTATAATTGAATTAAAGATATATCGTTCAGCATAAGAATGGGAAAAAACATGAGCAGGTTCCATTTCTACCTGAACATCCTTTCAAGGAGACTGGCAAAAAATGTTCTCCTCCAGCTTCTTTGCTATGGCTGTGTTCTTCTGTACATAAGCTACAAAGCCACTTGTTGCAGTTAGTACACAAACTGTGTGCAGGTCTCTTTTCTTTACAACCAGAGCAGTTCTGTAGCAGATTCAAACAGGAGAAAAATATAATTACATTGGGATGATTCCCATTAGCTGACAAAGTCACTGTCTCAGTATAATGCATATTTGGAAGTTATTCTTTTTAAAGGTGGCTTTTAGTGTTTAATAGTCAGCAGTGGTTTGAAGTACATATAACTATGATGGCACAGGTTATCTCTTTATTAGCATCTTATAGCATTATCCAGCCTTTGAAATTAATAATTTAAGGCAGGATTTATATCACTATAGTGATAGTTGACTATGAGATAATATAGATATATATTTTCACTAGAGAGAAAATAGTCTTAATGGACAAAAAGATTTCCATCTCTTAAACACTATGTAAGAGAGAGAGAGAGAAAATCAGGGGATAGTGAATTCACACAAAGAAGGTGTTAAATTGTGCAAACCATTCATTCTGCTAATATGTAGGTTGCAAACTTCCCTGATCATCAAATCAAAGAAAGTCCTTTTTCAGAGACCACCCAACTAAATTGAGAAATTTTAGAGACACCCAGTGACAGGTTTCCAATAGAGAATGTAAAGCTTGAGCACCTTATCTAGTGGCAGAAGTAAATACCATATATTCTTTGACATATCGCATTCCCAAGCTATTTAAAACAGAAGAATGGGATTTCTAGCTATGTTATTATGACTGTATGAGTGCCCAGCATCCTTCCTCATCAGCCATGCTTCAACCAGGGTGTTGAAGTTTAATAAAACCCATTTTCCATCCTTTGTTTTATAGGCAACATTTAGCATTCTGCACCATACACTGTACATTTGACAAGAGAAATGGAGAAACAAGTACATGACCCGTGCTTCTTGATCTCTAACCATATTTAATTCATATATTCAGTGAATGGATAAGGAGTCTGAGAGTTCAAGTATAGGAAGTTTACAATAAATTAGGAAATCTTATATGGATGAGACATATTTAAACTATTTCATCATCTTATGTGTTTCTTTGCACCTCAAAATATTTGGGAAGTAACAGGTAAGGATATCATTTCAGTCTTAAACACTTGTTCTATTTTTCTAACAAGTGTTTATCAGAATTCAAGCATAGCCGCAAGGCAAAATATAAATGTATCCAATCAAACACTATAGTAAATCACCTGTTGCAATTTTTTAAAAATGAAAGCAAATGAAAAGTATCAGATTCTCATGATCTTGTTCTCCTTAACTAATAACTATGCTTTTAGAGTGTTAAATCCTCGAGTTGTTGGAAATGTTATTTTCAAGTTGGCAGATCATAACTGGAATGTGTCTTCAAATGTCTTTTTCTAAAGCCCATGTTCCTTTTTTCAGGTTTCCCTCGATTTGTTTCGACAAACAAGTAATAATTCTTCAACAGAAGCACACACACCATACTAATCAGAAAAATGCCCATAGTCTCATGGAATTCTTTGGCGTTTGTAGATCCTACGCTTGTAGATCCTGCACAACTATGGTTAACTATAAATCTAAATTTCAGCAAAATGTAGTGCGCCATGACAGATAATATATATAAAATTCTTCATCTCCAGATCACACGACAGTACTGCCTAATAAAGAAAACCAAATCTAGCATGTGGCCAGCTATAACTTTTGAGCTATTAAAGGCTGGAATTCTTCATCATAGCTACCATGAAACCCTGAGCTGCTGTAATCATTATGGCCTCAGCCTGGATAGCTAAATCCTCCAGAACTGCCTTTTTGGTGTCTTCAACAGAGCGTCCAGTTCCCTGTTACCTAGGCTTCCTTTGTGTGATTATTTAGAAGAGGAAGTCCCTCTGGGAATTTGCCTGAATTAGACTGACTGAAAGCTCATGAAAGCTTTTCTCTGCACTCTCAGCTTGAGCCAGACTGTTGCTGAAGTAACATCTCTCTTGGGGCTCTGAGATCCTGTTTGTGCTTTGCCAGCTCTGAGGTTCATACTGTAAGTTTTATCAGAAGTGAGACAATGGAGAGTAAGAATTGTCTTTTGGGAAAAGACCAAGGCTAGTGTAGTTATTCCTTACTATTCAATACTTCTATATATTATATTTTTTTTCCCAAGTCATTACAAATCATTGAAAATCTGTGTCATGTATAGATATGACACATATCAGTTAATCAGTATATCAGTTAATGGAAGTAAACACACATTTTAACACTGGATGCAGCATAAAAACTTGAAAACTTTTACATTATATAGCTCTGATAATAATGAAATTCCATCCTGTATAACATGTACAGACACATGAAATGTATTTTATTAAGGAATTCAAGGCTGAACAGGACTAACCATTTCTTTTTAAGCATAACTGCTTCTTTCAAACCACAACTATGATCAACAGTAATTTATGCCCTGAGTATCTCCTTCTTTTGCTTCAAAGTGGCAATGGAACAATAACAACAATAAAAACATTGATGGAATTCAACCTATGCTCAGAATTAGAAAACTATTCTGTAGATAGAACATAGTAGACTGCTTCAATGAAGAATAGACTCTCAAGTCATATCCCTATTATGAAATGGAAATAATAGATTTTTAAGTTTGTTAAACTGAAACAGACTAGACTACTTAATCCACTAAAGGAGAAGCAAGACATGATCTACAGTTACTGATTATCTAAATTATTCAATTCAACAGTATGTTAAATTTTCAAAATAAAAGAACATACTATCAAGGACACTTAATTAAAGATAACTACACTAATAATCCTGAGAATTTATTTTTTGGATTAAGAAATGATTTAATAAATCAGATTCATTTATCAAAAATTCTTTTTAGAACCCTAACAATCAACAGGAGCTGGACTATTTATCCAAACTTGTACCATTCTTAAAGCATGAAAACTCTAAAGTTACTTAACCTACACAAGGCATACCAACTTATTAAACAACGATATACATACTTACCCGTGCCATGTCTGGCTTTTTTTGTGGCAACAATTTCTATAAAAGAAATCTTCTATGATACTACATTCCTTGGTACAGTAATATAGAAGTTATGTACAAAACTGATGCTACCTATATAAAGAGAAGAGGAAAAAAGCATCAACACAATTCAGAAAATCACATTTGGACACATTTTACATATTTGTCTTAAAATTTTAAATGATCATGTATATACCTAAGAATTCAGTCTGTCCGAAGAATTACGTACACAGAATAAAATAAACACCTGGCTAGTACAGACCCTGATTGTTTGTTGAATATATTACTGTATAATAACTGTACTGATGCATAAAATCAAGCCAAAATTTTGTTGAACAAATCATGGTGGCCTAGTTTGTATTTGACACTACACCAGAATAGTTAAACTTTACACATCACACTAAGCCAAAAAACATTCAACAATATTATGGACTGACGTTAAGGAGGACCCAGTTGTGGGGGCAATAAGCTGACTTTGTATAAATATACAAAAGGATGAAGGCTATTGCTGAGCACATTGTAAGCCGCCCTGAGTCTTCGGAGAAGGGCAGCATATAAATCAAATTAAAAAAAAAAAAAAAAAGGATGAACATTTTGTGACACAGCTGAACAGATGATTAAAGAGGATAGTTGGGGATATAATTTGTATGGTTCCTGATAGTACAGTTAAGATGTACATAAAATATTGGAAGGCTACTGTCAATTAATGTACATTATTAAACTATGTGAACTAATGTTCTGGCTCAATATAAAGTAATTTCCCACATAAGAATTAGCTGTATTCTTCTTAAAAAATTGCCTAGAGTTGATAATTTTCAAAATCATGATTATAAAGCAAAAAAGAAAAGGAATACAATCCATGTGTTAGATACATTATAATAATCTTAATTATTTAACAATTAATTAATCAGTAATTTGATTACTTGTGTCTCTTTAAAATCTGTTGTGTTTTCTCACAAATAAGGTTTCAGCTGGGCAAAAACAGACACATTAATGGCTTCTCCAAGAGTCTGTTGACTATCCAGAAACAGCTAAAATTGTCTTATTTCCTTTTTGCACTGAAACACTTATTATACAAAAATGCTGCTATTCTGAGGAAATGGGGCTAGTGTTTATCCTTTCCAAGCTGCCAAAGTAATGAGACAGGCCAGACATTTTATATGATGTCTGTACGATTATGGTCGTAATAAAATGCTTCAACTACAGAAGTTTGTAAAATGCTTTAATGCATTTTATATGATGAACTTCTACTGTGTGATATTAAAGCAGGGTAGATATGCAAATGAACGGTTATCTTTGTTATTTCAAGTTCCCTTGGGATAACAAAATCTCAGCTTGGTTAAATTTTTCCTGTTAAATCAATAGTATATTGAAGATGATGATATCAAATGTTGAGGCTGAGTAGGTTGACTAATGATAGCTCCAAAAGATTTTTCTGGTTTCATTTGGAAAGAGAATATTGTAAAATTTGGTCTCTCTCTTGTATGCTATTCTCAAAAACTATGAGGTCTCTAAGGCTCGACTCTAACTTCATATCACTTTTTTTTTAAAGTATAGAATTATCAGAGAGTTAATGTCATTTATATTTTCTTATTAAATGCTCTGTAAGTCATTCAATTAGTAACTTATTTACTATTCTTATGATTAATTATATTTGTATCAATGACCCTAGTATTTTAATGTTTCCAATTACTCAATATTGATGGGGGGGGCTTTTATGCATATTCTTCTAAGTTGCTGCATCTCTTGCTCTTAAAGAAAATGACACCTGCACAATAATAGCTGAATTACACATAACATGAACTTGTTTTTAAATGTCTTTCTTTCAAATATGCATTGCTTCCATCATATTTGTTCCATGCTCTTCTAGAGAAAGTTCAGGGAAAGTCACATGGGAATATTTCTTTCACAACAACAAGAAAAATGGGTAAGTGATGAAGTGATTAAAGTAGGAAAGAAAGCTTTAGTTAGTTCACTTGGAATCTTTGAATGAGCAGAGAGGCAAACCTAAGATTTCCTAGTTCAGGTGTATCACACTATCCATTAAAGAAATGATAAGAGATAGATAAATTTTGCTCTTACATAGCATCTCATTTCTATCAGAAAATATATGGAAGTAAATAAAGATGAAACAGTTAACTGAAATGTATAATCATTTTGCCAAGGTATTAAAATTTAAAATTAATAAATTTCCTAATATAGTGGTATCTTACTTTTTCAAAATGTATTTTCAATATTATAATGTTTTTCATAGTAGCATTACCTTAATAGGATGTTCTTATGACTTAACAAATGTAAATTTTAAAAAAGGAAATATGAGGACAATTATGTTGTGTTACTGACCTGCTCACATAATATGGACAATATCATTTTTGCACATCATCTATTTATTCAATTTATATTATTCTTTCTAGTCAAAATGAGCATTTAAAACAACTTTATCTGATGGCCTTATTTTTTAATTTCATAACTGTTTTGAGTGATTAAGCACAGATTTCACCAAATTGTGAAATTGCAGCAGGAATACCTTATGGAAGATTCTGTAAACTATACACAAATAGCAAGCAAAATAGCAAATTGAAATTATTTTCTGACTACCATAAGTTTTGTGTACAAGTTAATTCGCTTTTTCATTGCTTTTGCTTCGTATTATTCTTATAGCATCAGTGATGACGATTTAGAAATTTTTTTAAAATAAAAAGCATCAACTAAATCAATCCTTTTGTATTTAAAAAAGTTTAGTACAAATCCAGAAGCCTGGGAGAAATTTCTTAAGAGTAAAATGATGGACATCTTCAATTATTGTTCTAAATCAAATGTCAGGATAGAGATAAAAAGTAAGTAATGAACTGCTAGATAAAACCCTCCCTGTACCTTTTCTCTTTCCTGAACCTGGGCTACCTCAAACATTTTTCCAGTCACGTTATACACTGTTCTTTCCCAGTGTGGTTTCTTTCAGACATGCAGGAACTGTATAGCAGAGCCCACTTTCAGATCAAAGATATACAGCAAATAGCAAGCACTCTAATAAGCACTCTGCTTATTACATTCCAATTTTATTTTTGAGTAGACATCTAGAATTTGTTCACCATGATAGGAAATAGCTGGGAAAATAAGGCTTTGAAGACACACACGCTGATTTGATTAATTTATTTATATGGCCACCCACTTGTCAAACAAAAGTAGAAGACTGGAGATACAACTGCCATGACTCCTATTTTACAAAGGGCAATTACATTACATTAAAGAGGCATCAGTCCATTAGCTGAAAGTATCCTCTAAGTCAGTGGCCCCCAACCTTTTGGCCACCAGGAACCGGTTCCGTGGAGAGAGGTTTTTCCATTGACCAGAGGGGGCGTGGTTTCATGTGCTGCCTGGATCCCGCGAATGGGGTTTTGCTTGTTTGCACGGCCCGGTTTCTGGCATGCCACGACCCAGTCCACAAACTGGGGGTTGGGGACCCCTGCTCTAAGTAAAAGAGCAGGCCAGTCTGTAAGAAGGAAAGCAGCAGTTGTTCAATTGCCCATCAGGACTTAGTACTTGGGCAGGACACAGGACAGACTTATAGTTCACTTAATTGGTACTGTTTCTACTGTACTATGTCCAGCATCTTAACTGAGCATAATAGTTATGTTGAACTTAGACTGGGGAAATCCAAATACAAGTCTCCATTCCACCACAGAGTAGCATAAAGCTCTCCCTTCTGTATTTTTGAACAAAAATTTCCCAGGCTGAGCATTCTTCCCCATGTAAATCTGGGAAGACTGAAACAATACATCACGTTTTGTTACACTGCACCTTTTTAACATATATCTGTAATAGTTTGCCCTAGCCATGCCAGGACAAAGAATTTATTTCAAGCTGCTTCATTCTGATATAAAATAACTTATTAACTGTATAAAGCAAAACATTCATTAGGTTAATGCAAACATAATCAAGCTGTGTATTATTAATGCATCTGTGCTTTTTTTAAAAAATCTGATTTATTATCATAAATAAATACTATGACTATTCATGGAGCTCGCTTAGTGACTGGGCCAGTCTTGAACCTATTTACAAGCTTGTTATTATGAGGAGACCTCAGCGTGTGCTGACTAACACTCTTAAGAGGAAAAACAGGATAGATAAACAATAAATAAATAGATATTTAAATTATTTAAATAAATACATATTTAAATTAAATTACAAATGTGTATAGTGTATTTAAGCTAGCATATGAAAATTTTATGCAAATTGATGTCGTATATTTACTTCTTTTTGCTGATGCACTTCCATGGGGGGACAATACAAAGATGCAGAGGAAAAATCTTAACAGAGGAAAATTCAGCACCTCCTTCCCCTTCTGCTCAAAACAATCTCTTTTTGGTGACTTCTTTTATTAAATCAAGTGGCCATTGTAAACACATAAAGTTAATATACAGTGTGTTACTAAACCATTATTATACATTCAAGCAGGCACAGTATCTGAAAATCAGAATAACTAGAAAAATTTGCTAGACTTTATTGGAGAAAAGACCTAGCAAATATGTTGTGTTATTTTATACATTCAGTTTTTATCAGTTGTTCCAAAGTTTGCATCCTTTTTAAGCTATTTTCTTTTTTAAACTATTTAAACTTCCTTTTTAAGCTAAAATAATTTAAGCACGATTATTTTTCTTGACAGCTGGCAGCAATACAGTACGATTCATTGGTGCTGACAGCTGGAGTTGTGATGCAGAATAGAACTGCATAATGCCCAGTATTTTAATAAGACAAATTAAAAAGCAGTCTGTGGAAATATGCTCTAATTTGCACTCGTCTCTGCCTAACAACTGTATCTGAAATAGTGTCCCTGGAATTACTGTGTGTCAAAATTAGGTTAGGGTGTATTTCACCAATGGGCAGATCTTTGAAAGCTTGTACTGTACAAACGTGATACAGGGAAAAATGCCCTCATCCAAAAACATATGTGACAAGTTTGGTGCAAGGATAAAGATAGTTTTAACAAATAAACATCTGAATTAGCCTATTGGTCCCAATCAACAAAGCTTCTGGACAAGGGACAAGTCAGAAGATTACGACCTTCAGGCCTTTTAGATAAGAGAAGGAGCAATGGCAACAGCAGCAGCAGCACTCCAAATATAACTGCTAATATAGGAGACGTAACACAGCAAAGTCAAGACATATGCAGTTACTGCATTAACCAGCTATACACACACACACATTCACGCACGCACACACACTCACGCAAGCACGGACACACACTCCAACTTTTACCTTTTGATCAGTTACCTAGATATTATCCCATCTAGTTTTTGGGTGTTACATTGCTGTCTTTATCCTACAGAGAAAGAACAATTGCCCTTCAGTTATTCAAAGTCAGAGCATCACCGACTTGCATTACTTGGTAATTTTAAACCTGAGCACCGAAGAGATGCACCAATCTCCTCCCCCTCCATGTGCCTGATGGCCGTTACCTTTTAAATCTACATATTATTTAATCATCAATACCTTTCCTATTGGAACGGCTATTCAAAGTTCATCAGCATATCTTTAAGCAAGTGTTAGAAAAATAACCAGGCAATAAAATCGTAACTGACAAGAGAGCTCTTCTGATCAGTAACGTTAAGTGCTTATCCCAAGCTCTGCACGATATTATTTCTTCAGGAAAAAAAAATACTTCTCATGTTTGCTTACCTGTTCTCTTTCTAAAGCAGTCAGTTAAGAGTCTCTTGACTGAGGAAATGGGTTGTTACTAAGCAGACAAGCATGCACAGCGTAATCCCTGGAAACAGCTTTGACTGTTCAGCATCAGGCTTGGTGCTGCGAGAAAAGGGTTAGACCTTCATGTGCAGCATCTGAAGGTTCACTCATCTTTTCTTTTCTTTTTCTTTTTCTTTTTCTCTCCGTTAATGCCCGCTTCAAAAACTAAGCAACATGGATAGGTGCAGAGATCACTAAGCAGGTTTTGTTTTTCTTTTCTTACATTTAGGCCTCGTCTGAATTATTTTCCCCGTTTGCTGGAAGAAAATACAATTCCAGAGTCAGGTAAGAAGTTCAGCAAGCTCTTTTTTGTCAAGTAGATTTTTCCCCCCACAGAACATATTTTACATGCTCACATTTATTGTAAAGGGAGAGTATAATGCAGCAACCCAAATTACAAACAATTGTTTACAGACAGGTATTTCATTCAGTTTCCTACCCATCAAAGTGGCTGAATTTCACACCCAAGACCATATCTCTTTCCAGCACCTGTATCTTAGAGAGACTTCTTTTAAATATACCATTATTATACCTCTGTTGGTAGAGGAAGAGTATTCAGCTTTGCCCTAGAGATTTACTGTTTGTACGTATGAAGAATGATGCAATCAGCAAATCTAAATAGCAATCCAAGATGAAATTAGACAACTCAAACCACAGGATTTAAAAAGCAATAGAGCAAATTCAATTTTTGTATTATTATTATTACATGGTCCAAACTAACACATCTTGCTTCTTACAAAAAGCTGCCTTTAGTCTTTGAAAAATATTTTGATTTCTCCATAAGAATTAATGTTACTTAATGCATTCCATAGGGCTATGACTAAATTTATCAACTACTAAGTTGTTGGTTTGAATTCATAGCTTTCTATTTATGGCATGACAATGCTGTAAAAATAATCACAGTGTCACAGGTAATTCAGAATGAGCTAACAAAAATCCTTAGACCATTAACTCATATAATGCTTATTTTGGAGTTTCCCACATCTTCAGAATGCAGAAGTAAATCAGTTAATGAAAATAATCTTTAAATGTCAACCTGTGCCACATCTGGGTAAACAAAGGAATGACAAAAATAACCAGAAAAGGCTAAAATGTGTTTCCATAGTAAACCAATAACATACCATAAAATCCATAGTGATTTATTTTAGCTATAAAAAAAAAAGTCAGGAATTTGTCCATACAGTCATTAGAGGTCAGGGCCACTTTGATGCATCTAACATTATAAACATAATACATTATTTTTCAACTGACAAATATAATAGAATAACATGCAACAGTATAAAACTCCAAAACCAAATTTGGCTTGAAATATAACGTTTTTAAAAATAAACATTCCCCTATCCTCATCTGTGGGTATTTGCAGGGGAAGAAATAGGTGCATGATGCAATTTATGTAATTCACATCATTTGCATGATGATGTCATGATGCCTATGATACAATGACTTCATTACTTTTCACATTATTGTCTAGAAGGGAAGAGTGGCTTGCAATACAATCTGGATTGCTTCAATGCACTCTACATGGAGCTTCCCTTGAAAATTTCACCACTGGGTGAAATCATCCGACGACACGGTGTGGGATATCAGCAATATGCTGATGATACCCAGCTGTATATCTCCACCTCTCGTCAGTTCAGTGAGGCGGAAGATGTGATGTGCCGGTGCCTGGAGGCTGTGAGGATCTGGATGGGAGTCAACAGGCTCAGACTTAACCCAAACAAGACCGAATGGCTCTGGGTATTGTCCCCTAAAGACTATGTCGATTGTCCATCCTTGGTTCTGGGGGGAGAGAAAGTGCCCCCCTCAGAACGGGCTCACAATTTGGGTGTCCTTCTAGACTCACAGCTGAGATTGGAGCAACATCTGACAGCTGTAGCTAGGGGGACCTTTGCACAGGTTCGTCTGGTGCACCAATTGCGACCCTACTTGGATCAGGAGGCTCTCCTCACAGTCACTCATGCCCTTGTCACCTCATGGTTGGACTATTGCAACGCGCTCTACATGGGGCTACCCTTGAAAAGTGTTCGGAGACTACAGTTGGTCCAGAATGTAGCCGCGCGAGTTATAGTGGGTGCACCTAGATACACCCACATTACACCAATTCTCCGCGAGTTGCACTGGCTCCCTATCGGTCTCCAGGCACAATTCAAGGTGTTGGTTATTACCTTTAAAGCCCTACATGGCTCAGGACCAGGCTATCTTCGAGACCGCCTTCTACCACATAGCTCCCAGCGACCGGTAAGATCCCACAGAGTCGGTCTCCTCCGGGTCCCATCAGCTAAACAATGTTGGCTGGCGGGCCCGCGGGGCTGCCCCGGCTCTCTGGAACCAATTACCTCTTGAAGTCCGGACCGCCCCCACCCTATTGGCCTTCTGGAAAGTGGTGAAGGCCTGGCTCTTCCGGCAGGCCTGGGGTCGTTGATCTCGTTATAGTGATCTTGCGAGACCCGGCCACAAATTGGAGTGTATGTGTTTTAACGTTTTAATGTTTTAATGTCTTCTTTTAACTTTTGTATGGGATATTGTTGCATTGTTTTATTCTCTGTTGTAAGCCGCCCAGAGTCCCTTAGGAGTTGGGCGGCATAGAAATGCGACTAAATAAATAAATAAATAAATAAACAAACAAACAAACAAACAAACAAACAAATAAATAAATGCATTTAGAACTTCAACTGGTGCAGAATGCAGCTGTACAGGTAATAAATGGTATTGGGTACTAAGCCCATATAACACAACTACTTCATGAGTTGCACTGGCTGCCAGTGTGCTTCTGGGTGCAATTCAAGGTGCTAGTTGCCACCTTTAAAACCCTTCATGGCTTGGGACCGGGTTCTTTTTACCTTGTCATGGTCCAGCTTCCATCAGCAAATGAACATTAGCCACCAGGAGGGGGTGTGCCTTTTCTGTCTCTGGAGATCAGGATGGCTCCAACCCTGCTGGCCTTTTGTAAGGTCCTAAATACCTGGTTAAGGGCCTGGGCCTGGGACCCCAAGTGTGCGAAGAGTCCCACTCCTGCTTGTTTTAACAACCCTGGATTGTAATATTCTCCTCAGCCACTGTGCACATTTTAAATTTTGTATTATGATGTCAATTTGTTTTTAATTTATTTTATGATTGTTCACCATCCAGAGTTACTTGCCATACAAGAGTCACCTGCCATACAAAATAAATAAATGCATAAATAATCTCCAAAAGAGAATTCTTAGACTTGGAGGAAACGTAATTGCTTTATTGTTGCTTTATATTCCCAGATATGAATACAGGACTGATTCACTGGGATTTATTCTCCGGTGAAATCATATGGATTGTATTGTAAAATGATTTACAGATATAATCCTCCCCACTATTATTTCAGACAGTAAGCTGCGTTGACCTTAAAGAGCATCATTTCTAGGTAAAAAAATTATTTATCTGTTTGTTTGTTTGTTTGTTTATTGATTAATTTTATATGCCACCATCTCAAGATTCAAGGCAATTCTGGGGCTTACAATGTAATGTAAACATACAACAGGTTGGACTATCTTAGTTTGTACATATGCCCTGTCAGCTTCAGAATAGATGTTTTACTGACATACCAAGCTTCAGATGTACACCACTATTCCTATAGTCATAAAACATAGAATTGAACAGTATTTCAACAAATTCATATTACATGGCAATCAACCCTGCATTAATACAAGTACTAACAGCTTCAAAATGATATAAATGATCGAACCAGATTGTTAATTTACATAGTACCTTCATGGAACATTTAATGTGAGAAACACAACACCAAGGAAACAGATTCCCCCAGGTTCTTGATTATCTCCTGGATTAAGAATCTAAGAAACAGCCTATTACAACTCCTAATAGAACTGGCCTCCTGTTTTCCACAGTGGCCAATCAAATGATTTGCCAATGGGAAGCCTAAAGCAATATATAAAGGCTGACTTTCCTTATTACTGTCCCTAGCATGGGGCAGCAGATCATGCCTTTTACATTTGAGAATCTACGTCTACCATGACTTGCAGACTTTAACAACATACAGAACTTCCATAAAATAATAAAATTATGCAATACATAATGCCACAAAATATTAAATACACATATTTCTTTCAGAGCTTTTATATCAGTGATGGGATTAAAAAATTTTTACTACCGGTTCTGTGGGCATGGCTTGGTGGGCGTGGCATGGCTTGGTGGGCGTGGCTTGGTGGGCATGGCAGGGGAAGGATACTGCAAAATCTCCATTCCCTCCCCACTCCAGGGGAAGGTTGCTGCAAAATCCCCATTTCCTCCCGATCAGTTGGGCCTCGGGAGGCAGACAATAGATGGGGGCAGGGCCAGGCAGAGGTGGTATTTACTGGTTCTCCAAACTACTCAAAATTTTCCAGAACTGGTCAGAACCTGCTGAATACCACCTTTGTTCTGTATTTTCCACTATCACCATTTTTTCCAATTTTATAACTGCGCACTGAAGCTTAAAAACAATATCCAGTTTCTATTCATTTATTTTATGTTTGCTTGGATGCTTTACTGTCAAAAAAATAGCAACTCTATTTTAGGCTTTTTCTAAGACAGTAAACTAATCATATATTAATGTTTAAATATTTGAGAATATGAGCGGCAGTTTGGCATAGTGATTAAGAACATCAGGCTAAATATCAGGAGACTAAATTCTAGTCTTGCCTTAGGAATACAGCCAGCAGCTGACCTTGGGCTAGTCAGTTTCTCTCATCCTAGGAAGCAGGCTATGGCAAACCACTTTTGAAAAATCTTGCCAAAAAACTGCAGAGACTTGTCCAGGCAGTTTATGAGAATTTGACACAACTGAATGGAAAGGGGGAAAAATGACAATATACTCTATCTGCAAATAGAGTATATTGCAAATTGTTTTGTGACCTGAGCTATAGCGGATCAAACTGAACTTGAACTAATTCAGATGAAGTTATTAATTCTGAGCATTTTTCTGTCTTTTTCAAACCAGCACATAATATATATTTTCAGTTATGATAAATAGACTGCAATGGCCTCATTATAGGAAATAGTGAAGAAAAAGCTGTATTCTAGAATCAAGACATTTATCTGGACAATCTATTATTCTATTTTGTTTATACAGTGTAACCAGTGTCACACACTGATCCATGCCAGGCACAAATAAGTCACATTACAGCCACACAGGAATACGGTATTTAACTTCCACCAGCTTGAGAATTGTATCTGATTTTGCACAGCATGTTGAGACCATACTCCTCATCTGGATGTGGTTGTTGTGATC